AACACAGTAGTTGCAGAGGATTGATGCTTCTCTGGGCCCATTTGAACAGAGAAGGCATGTAGGAATTTGTGCAGAACAGCTAGGAATATGCAGATAAACACATGAAAATCAGTCTGAAGATCTACCTGCTAACAGGAAACCTAAACGTTATATATTCATATGTATTATTTCATATCAAACAAACTTAATAAAAATAAAAAAAACATATTTTTGACTCCTGAATATAATAAAAAAATATACAAAAATACTAAACATTTTTTTGGACATCCCTCCACTTCTTTAGTAATTAAAATTTAGCCCTTCTAGAAGACTCTGGTTAGGCAGTGTGTTGAAATGTATTTAAACAAATATTATCAGAGGCAAAAAACACATTTTCTTTCTGGAATCTTAGGGGCCGAGGGCAGCCGAGTGAATGACCGTTCTGAAGTGAAGTGAGCCGAACACTGTTCGGCTATTAACTTCAGGCTGGTACGGCTGATTTCACCCGTACATCGGCTGAAATCAGCCGTACATCGGCTTGCTTCGTGTGGCTTCGGGTCGGCTGAACATGCTCAGCATGTTCGGCCGATCCGAAGTGCAGAAGGAGTTCGACTCAGCCGATCCAACATCTGTCAGGCTTCTCACTGCTGTTCGGGCTATTCTTAAAGATGCCGAACAGCAGTGAGTGAATAGCCAAATGCCGCTGAGCGGCATTCGGCTCGGCTGTTCTGCTCGGTCGAGCAGAACAGAAAAAGAGTGAAAAAAGTTTTAAAAAAGTAAATAGAAAACGATTGTGCGGAGCTGGCAGTGACAGCTAGCTCCGCACAATAGTTTCCTACTGTCTGGCAGATCTGCTGCTTTAAAAAAATAAAAGCAAAAAAAAAACCTCTCCCGGGCGCTCTCGGAGCCTCCCGCTCCCTGCCACCCTATGGCCAGATCCTTCGGCAGCTTCGTGAATAGACCCCTTAGTTTTGTGCAGTCTTAAGGGGGAAAACACTATAGATAGTATTACATAGGTAATGGAAAATAACTGGAAGCTTTGTGAAATAATTCAGTATTTTTAATTCACATTTTACCTATTACCTACTATTTTAAAATTGTTACCATATTTTTCTAAGACTATACCAGTGTCTTAATATCTTTATTTTAATATAAAGGCAATAACAAAAGGGCAATCTTAGGGTTGCTTGGAAAACAACCTACTCTGATGTTTGGTAAGCTGAAGACCATTTTCCAAAAAGTCGCCCATATAACTTCAATATGTAGCTCTCATCAACATGAATCTCCCAGGAGCGTGGTCAGGTGAGTATAATAATAGGGAAAAAGGTACTGGGACAGGGTGGGGAAGGTGCTGTTATTATGCAAAAGTATAGTTTTTCTTTAAAGCACATCATCGACCAACACATGGTGCTTGTATGCAGGACTAGAGAACATATTAAGTGACATAGCAGCTAGTGGGAAGAACTGCAGTGCACAGAGAGGGACAAGCATCCGACATACTCAGAAGTGTTGGGCAACAGTGGTGCCCCTAGTTCTGCAAGAGAATGAAGAGTAGACTTGCTGCCATAGGACTGGTAAGGATTTAAAGGAGAACTACTAGGAGAGTAAAATGCACTCTTCCTATTAGTTTGAGCTGGCAAATGCAAGTATCACACGCCGTCTCTATAGCTCGAGAACTGAGTGATCACAAACCACTGATCGTTCAGCTTATGGCTTCTCCCTGCAGAGAGTGGTGACTGTCAGTCACCACTTCCCCCACAGATTCCTCCCCCCCTCTCTCTGTCCTCCAGCACTCATTGGAGAGACAGAATGGAGAGGGGCGAGCACAGCTGGCTCTGGCTTTGGAGAGGCAGAGCCAGCTGTCAATCAGGCAGCAGGGTGGCTCCCGACAATATTGTCAGGATCTTTTACAACTGCAGGCAGCTCTGCTATTTGTTAACTTTGGGTCACAGGAGTACATTAGTAAATGTACTCCTGTGACCCAAAAAATAACTATAGCCCAAAAAAAGGTTTGGCTTTAGTTCTCTTTTAATGTAACGACAGGGTTTCTTCAACATTAGAGTGGCTTTTGTTTTTATTATATACATTATATCAGTTTGTTAAAGTACCAATTTTACTGTTCTACTAAGCTTAAAAATATGAAGGAACAGACCACAGTGATAAAAGTTGTAAGAGAAAAAACTCCTAAAGCAAGTGACAAGCCTGTAATCATTCTCTCATTTGCAGCTCCTGGGCTGCTTTTTTCCATAAGTGGGTGATGCCTCCATTAAACTAACATGAGACTAGCACCTCCATCTCCTAATTTATCATTTACGAAGCCTAGATTGAAAGAGATGCAGGGTGACAAAGGAGTTGAAGGCTGAAGATCACCTCCTCTGTAGAGAAGAGTAGTCATAATTAACATTTTAAAAAAGTGTAATACATGCCCATTTAAAATAAAACGATAGACCGTAGAACAGAGATAGAGTAACTAATGAACAGAAATAATGACTATTTCCAGACTCTAATGCATTGTTAAAAACTCATTATATTGAATTTGACAGAAATAGGTCAGATTGTATATGAAGGCTTTTCTCTTTTGGGTCTTTAACCAAATCCCTGTAATGTGCTAGATAAATATAAGAGAGGCAGAGGGATGTGCTGCATCCACTTCCATCCTCACATGTTGTGCTGCCTGTCAAGCAGCTGCAAGGAGTGGCTCCTTCTCATTCTGCTCCTAGCTCACACGCAGCTGTGACATGTGTGTGCGACACGTGTTACAAGTCTCTTGTTGTGTTTTTCCGATATAAATGTTTATCTTACAATAAACATTGGAAAAAAAAGGCATTGCATAGTTTGTCATGCCTTGAAAGGATCATTTTTGGGCGGACAGCGGGTTTAAACATGGAGATTAAACATGAACTGATAATTCGATTGGTTTACATTTTAGAGGAAATGTAATTTTTATGTTTTTTTTTCGTTTTCACCAAGCTTTTTGCATCATAAAATAGTGCATTTTCCAAATTGAAATGCAATCATGCTGTGTGATGTGTTTTTTAATGATGTTTTGTTGTTGTTGTTAAACTAAATTCTATGCATGTTATTCTAGAATGTAGTGGCTATCTATGGAGTTAATTACTATGGGTTCTTCACTTTGCAATACAATTTTCTCTTTACAAGGAAATGTTTCCTAAGCTTAGTGAATGAGATGAAATTTACTTTGCAATGAATACACAATCACATGTAAGGAAAATAAAAAATAGTATTTTTGTCTGCATATTATTGGATAATGGAAGTCGGCAGCGTTTCACCTCAATAAAAAAAAGGGGAAATGCACTTGCAAAGTGAACAATTTGTCTTTTAGTAAATAAACCCCTATGCATCTATTTTGACCAACAAAATAACCTGGAATGGAAAACTAGGCATCAGCAGGTCAATGTATTTTAACTACTAAACTATTGCTGCCCTGGTAAAAAAGGGTACCACCACCAGGCACCCGTAGACGTGCCTACAATTGGCATAAACAAAGAGGTGGTTTTTCCCTCTTTAGTGATTGGCCACATTTTTTTCCCATTGTCAGAACAAATAGTCACCTAATATAAATCATTTGCACATTATCCCAATATTCTAATCCACGTTAGGACAAAGAAAACAATAACATTGTTATCAGAATTGTGACTTTGCATGATTGCAATTATATTCTGTTATCTTCTTTTCTCATTCTCCTTCTTTTGTCACATTTATTGGTTCATACCCTGAAAATAAGACCTACCCCAAAAATAAGACCTAGTACTATTTTTGGGAATTGCTAAAATATAAGACCTACCCCGAAAATAAGACCTAGTTGTGACCATTCCCAGGGCCGGTGGTGGCATAAGGGGGAACTTGAAGAGCAGCGGGAGAGGCAGGAGAGAACCAGTGCCAACAAAGCCAGCGCTAGAGGAAGCGAGGCGGCACCGGAGGGAGCAGAGCCGCATAAGCTGATGCATCCTCTATAGCGCTGGCTCCTGTCACAGGCGGAGTGATACCAAATGCACTCCGCCTGTGAGGAATCGATAGTGAAAGTGCGCTTCGCCCATTCTGGCTGGCGATTGGTTAGCAAATTCTCTTGGAAAGGTACGGCACCCCTGATTGCCCTGATCACCATATTTTTGTACATGAATACATGTAGACTTTTCTACATGAATAAGTGTTGATTGTTGTACATTTAAAAAAAAACAAATAAAAATAAGACCTACCCCAAAAAAGCCAAAAAAAATATAAGACAGTGCATTATTTTCGGGGAAACACGGTATTTACAACATTTTCTCCACCAGCAAATCCTATATATTCTTATGCAGTTAATATCTTCTTTGTGCTGTGTATACAATATAACTGATACTATCACCTAAAACAAGCTTTTCCCAAAAGATACATTTTATCTAAGTAGGTGAAGATTCCACTCTGGAGATTGTTCAGAAGATAATACTTCAGGAGAGATACATATTTGTATCATTTGATTAAAATATTATTTTTTAATCAAAGTATATCTAAACCCAAAAACAAAACATCAATGTATTACAAGCTACCAATTCTTTAAATATGGTGGCTGTGTTAGTTTTCTTTTTTTTAGGCTTTTTTTTCCATCTGGTTATGCAGTCAATAACACACTTCCTGTCTTAGGGTGGCTTTACTATATGGAGGAGCAATGGAGCCACCATTGGACAGCAGCATTGTAAACCTGGGGAAAGGGTAGTGTTCGATGCACTAGCAGATTTAGATGGACTTGACTAACAAATTAAAGCTGAATGTGCCATAATGCAGTATTTTCCTGATACTACAATCGACCTTGAAACACCTAACGATTGTACATTTAATTTCAAAGGATGAATGGCTCTACAAATTGTTTATAAATGCACCCCTTAATATAAAAGTTAAATGTATAGGTCACTTATATGGCCACTGATACTGAGCCCTTCTGAATTGTTTTACAGAATATAATATATTGGTATTAGAGAATTAAATATATGGGTTTATTGCAGTATGTCTTGTTTCTTCTACAGAACGCTAATCGGGCGGTCCTGTGTTTGGAGAAGGTTGTGAACATTGTAAAAGACCATACAGAGTCCTTGGGAATGACAGTGGCTGGTGGAGTGTCAAACTGGGAATGGGACCTACCTATCTTTGTCACAAGTGTAGATCCTGATGGAGTTATTGGGAGAGACAGCAGAGTAAAAACAGGTGAAATGTGTTATAAAATCCTAAAATGTATTTAGAAATGTTTATTTGATTTTCTTCATTATACTATCCCCTGTCCTTACGGGATCATGTTCCTTAGTGCTCTAGTAACCCTCCTGTTATGTTACAGAAAAAAATGGATTAAACAATTGTTATCCAAGCTTGCCTTAGAATATATACACATATTCTTGATTGCTGCTGAATATTTTTTTTTTTTGTAGTTGTATAGCTGACGTTGATTGTTGCTGAACTCTGCAGACCATTACTTTGGTGTCACAGGATAAATCTCTTCCACATTCCATCTAGTTCAAAAGCTAGACTGGTTTAGCAGTTCATTCTGGTCTACTAAATGTACTTTTATACACGCTCTCTTCACGGCAAGGCAAGCTAATTAGCCCTTCTCCTGCTTTCTTTGCTAAAGAAAAGTGTCTAACTCCCTCCTCATTGGCCTACCTTTATGCAGGCTATCCCCCCTTCATTCTATCATGAATGCTGCTGCCAGACTAATCCACCTTACCAGTCAATCCACAGCTCTGCACCCAGATATATTTCCAACCTCATCTCAAAGTATCACCCTGACCGTCCTCTCAGCTCCTCCCAAGACCTCCTGCTTCCTAGCTCCCTCGTCAGCTCCTCCAATGCTCGCCTACAGGACTCCTCTAGAGTCTCTCCCATCCTCTGGAACTCACTACTCCAACCTGTCCAGCTATCTCCTACTCTGTTTGCCTTTAGGAGATCCCTGAAAACTAATCTTTCCGGTGAAGCCTATCCCACTTCTACCTAACAACTGAACTATTACTCAAACAACTAATTCCCACACAGCTACCACCTTTTGTATCACTGCCGTGCACATCAAACAGCAAATGAACAGGAATCACCAGCACTCAGTGAAAAATATTAAAACGATGAAGTCCATTTAACCAGACAAATCATTCATCATACATGTTGCAATAATTATAACTGACGTTTCGGGGCCACGTTCATCAGGGCAGCAATGTAACACACCTGGTCCACGCAGGGACCCTTCATCAGGGCAACAATGTAACACACCTGGTGTGTTACATTGTTGCCCTGATGAAGGGTCCCTGCATGGCCCCGAAACGTCGGTTATAATTATTGCAACATGTATGATGATTTGTCTGGTTAAATGGACTTTATCGTTTGAATATTTTTCACTGACTGCTGGTTATTCTTGTTCATTTGCTGGGCCAAACACCAACATCAACGCTGTCACATGAGAGGAGGTGAGTGAGTTGTAGGGGTTAATTTACTAAAGGCTAATAGGCTGTTCACCTTGCAAGGGAATTTGCACTTTGCAGGGGAAGTTCAGCAAGCTAAGGGACAATTCCCCTGCAAAGTGTAAATTCCCTTGCAAGGTGAACAGCCTATTAGCCTTTAGTAAATTAATCCCATATGCTCTTCCATACTAGAAATTACTGGGTATATTCCTCACTCCTAATGGCTGAAGCAAAAGAAAAGTGAGTATGTGCAGCTGGGGAAGGATTATTATGGCGCGTAAACATCAAATGTGGAATTACATCTCAGGGTTTTAGTAGAGTTATTTTATAAACATTGGGTAATTTATCAAAACTGGTGCAGACAAAAGCTGGAGCAGCTGTGCATGGCAACCAATCAGCTTTTGTCTTCAGTTTGTTCAATTAAGATTTGAAAATTAAAAGGAGAAGCTGATTGGTTGCCATGCACAGCTGCTCCAGTTTTTGTCTGCTCCAGTTTTGATAAATTCCCTTCATTGAGTTACACAATAAAAGAACAGAGGCCAGGGTACAGTAGAAGACATTCATATTCACTTTTTCTCTAGATTTAGATGTTTTGTTGTTTTGTTAATGATTACAGAATCATGAAAAACCATTATAAAATAAAAAAATATACAAGTAGAAAGTTAAAATGTAAAAACTGGTTCATTTCAACATCCATAAAATATAGATGGTTGAGAGTTCAATCAGCTTCCTGGGATGGGAGTCATTTTATTTTCTGCGTCTTGGCAGTCTCTTTCCTAGCTGTTCTTCAGTATCATAGCTGTCTTCTTCTGGCTCCTGGGTTAACTCAGCAAAGAGGACAAAAATATGGAGAAAGTATGTGTGAGTGGGCTTTGAGTCACTCACTTAGCCCTTATCGGCATTGTGCGCACATTCTATATTTCCCAAGACAGCCCCAGTCCCAAACGCAGTCTCCCACTTTCCTGTAAACCTTGTTAAACAAGATGTATCATCACTTTGTGGCATGTTACTGGAAGGGTCATTGAGGCTCTGCAGTAACTACTTTGAAGCTGTTTTCTGCATTGAACTGGCCTCTAGGAGAGGGGAGGAAAGCTGTGCTGTTTTTAGTCTTGGTGGAATGTTGCTGTACTACACACAGTCTGCTGCCTGCTGTGCTGAAAGTCAGAGGCACACATGTACTGACACCTACTACAGATTTTACAAGACTGCTCAGTCCAATCAGAAAATGGGCATACAATCAGATAGAGAGAAATACTTACTAACCCACAACAAACGTATCCCATATTTTATTCCTTGGGCTTTGTAATGTGTTTTTCCTTTTTAAGATGTATTCAGATGTGGACACCTAACTCTAAGAAATTTGAACAATATTTCTCTATGCATTGCCTTACTAAGTACGCACGACTGTATGTCAGTATTACTTTGCTTATTTACACAATTCCACAGGGACAGGGCAACGTTCACGTCGGTGTTAGCTGATAAACTCATGCACAAACTCTGAGGCCACTTTTCGACAGTCACAATTAACATTTAAATAAGAACTCCAAATAGAAGTTTTATTA